CATAGCTAACTCTCTGTAGCATTTAACCCTCATTTCAAACATCTCCTTTGTACATAACGTGTGTGGTTTGGTTGTGCCGTTATAATACGCTCTGCACCATGACAGGCCATCATAAGCCAGCCTATAGAAGAGGTCTTATGGTTTCCATACACATGCGCCTGCTTATCGATAATCTACGTGTACATCTCATGCGTCCTCCGCATCCCCAAACCATCATCGTGGTTGTTCACATTGTCCATTCCTTCATCATCCGGTCCACTATACACTATATACATTCGCCATGATTCATCTCTACGACGTTCCTCCACCGAAATGTCAGGAAAAAGGGTGATTCTTTGCGTCACTCGAAGCGCTTAAATTCCTCAACCGAAAACTTACAGAAATCATTCCTAACATTAAATATCTCATTGTGACAATCGTGACTCTTCCAAAACCGAATCAGTTACAACTTATCTCAGGGGGGCTCATCACTCATCAATAATGGCAAATAAAATAAAACTCAAAACCCTTTTCCAGCCATTGTGATATTCAGATGCAGTTATCCGACTTAGGGAGACCTCTGCACCTTTGCATATGGTAATGATATGTTAACTTGCAAAAAATGACTACTACCCCTCCCAACGAACACCTTTTCTCACTTACCTATCCAAATATCATTAAAATGACATAAAACTCCCCAACTTAAAAGGAAACCGCGAAAAAACGTACCCCTCAGGTGGAAGAGGGGGTTGGTGGGTGGGATGCTCCCAACATTCTTAACGGGGCATCCCAGGAAAAAACAGGGGGTTTTGGGTGGGTTCATTACCATAATATATGCAAATTATTCAGTTATGTTAATTATATCTCCATAAGTCCATAAATTACTGAAAAAAGCGCCAATCCTAGAATATGCTAATTAGCGAGGGACCTTAATGCCTTGAGGGAAACGGCCAAAAAGTCACCATAACTCCTTTGGGGCGATGCTCATCAACTTCTTGGTGAACCTTCAGCTAATCCCAAGCAATGGCAAGCTTGGTTTTTGGCAATAGGTGGAGGAGCTTCATGCCCCAGGGGATGCAGAGATACTGAAGTCCTCCCTATGGGAAGGGAGAAGGAATCTCCCCTTATCTTCTCCCACCTCTCTTTTCCCCCTCCCCCTCCCCCTTTTTCGAAGCCCGTGGACGTGCATCAAAACTTCCCCCTGTGAACAAAAAAAGTGAACCGTGAAATCACAGCACACAAAAACGTGCACAAGGGTGCAAGGTCCTTCGAAAGAAGGGACCTACTTTCCCGACCCCCCGGGGCGCAAGGCTCCTGACAGGGGTTGAGACTGTTGGCCCACCAACCCGAAGGCCGGACTTATGGTGACATCTTTGAGCTATCATGAACATAACTATGAATAATTTGCATAAATTCTCAGCAACTTCTTGGTGAACCTTCAGCTAATCTCAAGCAATGTCAAGCTTGGTTTTGGCAATAGGTGTACCAGCATACCCTATCCAAGAGAGGAGCTTCATGCCCCAGGGGATGCAGAGATACTAAAGTCCTTGGCATTGGGGAAGGTCCTTACCACCTTTGAGATGTTTTGCTTTTTGGGTTTAAGATACATTACAGAACCAAAAAAATAAATAATGCTTTGCAGGAGTGGAGATTAGGATTGGTTATGCTTCACCTCCTATCCCTCCCATCCATAGCCCATTTCTGAGTGCACAACGTCTCCGCTGTGCTTATAGTCAGCTTGTGAGGAAGGAAAAGATTGGCAATTTAAAAGGAAAACACAGTTTTAAAGATATATGTTAAAATATTTGCAACATAAATATAAAAAAAGCAAAAAAAATAATAATTAAAAAGTGCTTTAAACATCACAAGGATCAGTTTTTGATTTCAACCAGTAAAATCACAGCTATATATATATATATAATACTGCTTCCAAGTTAGTCCACTTTATCCCTGCAGTTGGAAAGAAAGGCACGGGGGCATGTAATAGA